GCCTAACGTAAACTTTTTAAAATAATAATCGTGGCTATTGTATCATTAAAAATTATTTCTTTATTTTTTACAAACAAAATAAATATATTGAAAAATATAAAAACAAGAAAAATTATACTTTAGAAGTTAATCTAGTATCAAAAACATTTGATTCAGCACGACACACAGTCCTCAGAAAAACACCACACAAAAGTGCCAGTGCTGCCAGCTAAAACACACACATCAACAAAAAAAATATTGGAGTAGCCCAAGATATAGCCAAAGATTGCAGCGCTACAGCACTAGCGAAAATTTAAATTTGCCGACTGGAATTCTTTCAGATAACCGACTTTCGGATAAATGACGCTCTACTGTATTTACAAAGCAATGTAACTTTAATTTCCAATTAATAAACTTAACTATAATATTTTAATTTACAATAATTTATCCCTAAAATGATTAAAACCTCTAACAAAGTTAAATATTAGTTTTTTAAATTATTTTTATATTTGAAGACATGTGATTTTAAAAAATTGGAACTATTATATGCATTATAAAATCTTTCATTTGATCAAAATTTTAGTGATTTTTCTATAAATCTTGTTATCATTTTTCTTTTAAAAAATTAATATGTTATTTTACAATTAACTATTTTATTTCTGGATCTTTATGCTACACCAAATAATGAGTGTCTTTTACAAATTCATTGTTTTTATTTGCAAAATATTTTTGGTGTAACAAATTTCATCATTTAATAAGTGGAATATTATATTAACAAATGAATATTTAGTTATTATAAAATTTTACAAACAAATATCTCAGAATTTTGTATAAAAATGTTTCTCTCTCAAACTGTTTTAAATTATTTTTTATTTTATACATCATTTTCAGAATAAAGTTTGTTAAACTTTTTACATAGTATTTATAGTAATATTTTATGAATAGTAATATTTTATTTATTAACAGTTAATAAAGTCATATGTGGAATGTATTAATTTATATTTTTATTATTTAATAGCGCATTGCATCATCAGCCATTTACAATGTAAGTATTATATTTTATATTATTAATTATATTTCAATAATACAAGGGTCATTCTAAAGGAAAAGAACGTTTTTATCTGATGAGCCGCACAGTTCTCCCACTACCCCACTGCCGCATCATGGACCTTCCCAGTTTTTTGCACAGGCTGACGCTAACAGTGAGCCGCAACGCTTGTTTACTGTTTATAGTGTGACTTTGAAATGTGTGACAAAATTAAAGATTCCACCAAGTGTGAGGTTCTTAGTGTAATATACTTTATGAATGCGAAAAAAGTCTGCCCTATCAAAATTTACAAATAGATAACTGAGGTTTATGGTAATGTGATGAATGAAGCTTCAGTTTGAAACAAATTGTTGTCCAGAGGCATTGTGCTTCTTCAGGATTATGCACATTTGCATGCTGCTGCATTGATGAAGAACTTGCTTCAGCAGTTTAAGTGGGAAGTTTTTGAACATCCTCCTTATAGCATGGACTTGGCTCTGAGTGATTTTCATCTTTTCCCAAAATTGAAAGATTTTTTGGCTGGGAATCACTGTGGAAGTGACAACGAACTGAAAGAGGCCATTAATGACTGGTTCAAGAAGTTGGCGGTAACTGAGTGTGAAGAAGGCATAGAAAAGCCAATGATATGCTATGACAAATGTTTAAATTTGTATGGCAACTATGTAGAAAAATAGCTAAGGTATCATGTGTTGTAAAATAAGTTTTGTTTCATTATCTTAAATGAAAATATCTAGAGAAACAAACTTTCTTTACTTTTAGAATGACCTTTGTACTTCATTAAGTTATTTTGTATATATCTTAAAAGTATTTGTCATAAGTGAGAAACTATACTGAATAAAATTGAACTCTTTAATAAGTTTTTATGGTCTGTGATTAATTAAAAGAATATTGTAGCTATTTTTATTTTTGTAGTTCAAGTTTGTATATGTGAAAAAATTTCAAATACTGTAGAAACCCAATTATCTGAGGTGAATCTTTAAGTGAATACATTCTTTTATGAATTACAGTATAAGAAAAGTAAAGTTTAAAATAATAAAATGTATTACAAAATGGTTTGTTTTTGTTACCTTTTATTATTTGTTTTGTCTCATCTTGTATTAAAGTTATTCATGTTATAATGTAACTACAGTAATATACATTTTTATTCTTATTCTACACATTAGCTGCATAATGAAGTAAAATTTGTTCTTATATATGATTAGATTCACTATGAAAAGAGTCTTAAAAGTGATATATCATATAAATATTTTATATTCATAATTTTTATTCTGAAATAGCCATGGCCTTTGCTATATCTGAATTTTCAATTAACTAAGGCAACATTGGTCCACATTTCCTCAGATAATCAGAATTCTACTGTATAAATTCTATTATGTAAATCAGTGGTGACTTTTTAGCTGGTGGACCAAATTGCACATAAGTCATAGATAGACAAGCCACAAATACTTTGTATATTCTATAAATATAAAAGGTAAGCCCATTTGTATCATTTATAAATGACGTGTCAAATATGTTCATGAGCCAGATTTGGCCAGGAGGCCATAGTTTGGGCACCACTGAGGTAAAATAATGGTAATTAAGTATTATAAAATACAGATCTAAATTTATAATGTACTGATAAAACTTTTAAAGAATTAATTAGGATATTATTATATTAATTAATACAATACACTGAATTTAACTTTATAAAGCTGTCAAATTAATCAGTACAGTATATTAAAAGTATTATAAGAAATACTGAGAGCTGGTTTGGATTCTACAATGGGAAATGAAGCTTGCTATTTGGCCAGTAATTTAAATGACATACATTTCAGTCTAACTTTATTACTCTTTTACTATTTTTTAATTATTATAATATAGATTGTTATAAAAATGTGTATATATTGTATATTTTAGTTTAAATTTGCCCTAGTTATTATTAACTCTGTATATATCTGATGTTATCTCCATTTAGAATAATAATAATAATAATAATCTAAATTTTTAAAAAATTACAAAGCAATTACTTTTATAAAATATCTAGATTTTTATGAACATTATTAAAGATTTAATGTTTTATAAACAGTTTTTGTAGAAATCTTAAGAAAACATTATAAAACTCTGTATATTAATTTTTTTATAATATAATAAAGCATGCACTTAATAATAATGATGTTTACTTAAAAAATTGTTGATATAATTTAACTTATTAGTGGAATTTTCACCAGTTTGTAGTTTGTAAACAGATATTGGATCCAGAGTAATCAGAATAACAAATGGTATTCTTAAATAGTCATATCATTTTTGGACTGCATTTTGAAAAAATTGTAGACCTATAAATTCCCACAGTCATCCATCTGTTCGTCTGTCTTTAGTAATCTCGAGAACAGTGTTAGATAAATGAAATTCAAGACTAGATATGGAAAACTTAGGGGCATGAGGCCCTAATTAACTATATATTATATATTATAACTTCTGATGCAAACTGGAAATCATGTTAATTTTATTTAAAAATTTTTCCCTGAAAGGAGTTAGATAGCAATGGAAGTCATGCCTGTCATCTAACAGAAAAGTATGATGTACAAGGGCAATACACTACAGTACTAATTTGAGGTGAAGAGCATATAGCATGTATTTTAAATTAAATAAATTAAAAATATGATTAAAAATTGCAGTGTAGCATTGTGATGATGTCACAACTATAATTAGCAATTATTTATTGTATTTGAATTTTCCAAAAAATGTTTAGACAAATATAAGGACTCAATAAATATAACATATTCCTTTTTAATTTATTTGATTTTTTTAGCTTTTGAATATGTATTGGTAATTGTTTTATTTGTTAGATTTGAAAATTTCTTAAGTTATCAATATTTTTGTTTGTTGGGGTTTATTAAGTGTTCTTTTTTAAAGAATAATAATAATAATCATCATTATCAAACTCTTAATTTGCTCAAATATAATATGATATAATAATCCACACTTAATCTATCCATTCCTGTCCAGTTCACACTATAATAACCAAATACTTTTTACCTTTACACAAGAGTAATTTTTAGAAATCTAAAGCTGAACAATGGAACTACCTAATGAGGGCTCATTAATAGGTCCAAGAAACATTTTGTGTATGTTAAAATAAAAATTACTCTAGCATGAAGGTGAAAGTTTTTGTTAATCCACACTTATTCAAGTTTAATAATCTGGTTACAAATTTTTTGATAAGATAAGCAACAGTTTAGTTTAGTTTATATGGTAATGAAGACACATTCTAATATTTACTGTTTATTAGAATTCAATATTCTTTCAATGAGTATAACAGTAATGGAAATATTTAAAGTTTTTAGTGATGTCTTCATAAATTAAATTTTTAAATAATAAATATATTGTACATTTTGCTATTTGAATATTTAATAATTTATATTGTATTTACCTACATAAATTTAATATTTTAAAGAATAGAAATATACTTTTGCATTTTTTCTTAATTTTTGCTTATGAAAATGGATTTTGAAAAATATGACAATAATCTTTTTTTTTTAATAATTTTTAGGAAATTTAAGCCAGTAATTCAGAACATTTGTTCAGATAACCGCTGTGATGTTCATTCAATGGTATTAGGTATCAGAGATGAAAAAGAAGGTTGGATAGATATCTATGCTCCAGGTGGTATTGCTTGTGATGATGATGGTGATTTATGGAGTCTTATGGTAATTTTCATATATATTATAACTAATTAAAAAATTTAAAAAATTAAATGAATAAAAAAATTTACATTTAGAAGTATAAAATTTTTATTTATTGTACTGTGTTGTATTTATAAAAACTTTTTTTATTATCATCATCATCATCATTAGGGATTTGCAGTTAATTACATACTTTATAATGTTATCAAAAATCTAAGCATAAATTAAAAGTTTTATTGTTTACATTTTGTTAAGACTTAATTTAGGACAGAGGACCCTAAAATATTTTTTATTGATTAATAATTCATTTTTGTAAATTTCATTAAAAAATTCAAGTTTTTATCTTACATTTTGTATATATAGGCTTACCTCACTAATATGGTGAGTCAAATTCCAGATCACTGATGTGATATTTTCTTTATAGTAAAGTGCATCACAGTCTTTTTCACTTGCCAACATATATAAAAATCTAAAAACATAAATAATAGTGTAAATATTTAGATAAGCACTATTTCACACTTAATTAAAAAAATTCTGAAGATTTCTTTGAGTGCCAAAAATAATAAACAAGAATAGACATACCTCACTTTAAGGCACTATTAATGAAGTGCCTTAAAGTGAGGTATGTCTATAATTACTATATTTTATTTCTATAAAAACTCTTGCATTTTAAAAAAATATTCTATTATGCTTTTGCAAATCAAAACAATGAAGCAAATTTTTTCCAAGAATAAATTATTTGAGATTTAAAAGTTGATATAAAATTGATGTAATTTGTTTTATAGAAATGAAATAAATTTATACATTTTGTGAGATACATTGCATGCTGTATAAAATTGAAAGGATTCGAATAAAAATTTATACTTCTATAAAAATTTGAAATTTATTCAAAGTTAAACTGTAAAATTTAAGGGAAATACGAATATTTAATTTAAAATTTTAAAGAAAATGTATTTTATATAAAATAATAATATTTGTCATTTTAGTTGAAAATGCTGTTATCTTGTTGTTGTCGAAAGAAATGTTTTCTACAATCAATGATAAAATCATTAGAAGCATCAGTGGAACCATTTTGCAGCTTTTTATTACGGGCTTTGAGAGATGACGAAACTTGTCAGCAAGCTCTATGTGCCATGTTAGAATTAGAGGTAATTGAAGATAAGGACTTGCAGTTACAAATTATAATAACACTTCAAAGTACAGCAAGTGGAAAAGAACATTATAGAGCTCTTTCTCAGCGTCAAAGGCATCTGAAAGAATTGGTAATTAAATTTAATGTTGCATCTTAATATGGCTTTAACAAATTCAATGTTAAAACATTATCTATTTAAAATACAGCAGCAAAAAGGAGGTCCAAAAAAATTAAGTTTTCTTCCAAAATCAACTGTAAGTAAAAATGTTTTATTAGACTATTGTTGTTATTTTACATTTAAAAACATTGTTGACAAAATAAAGTAGAAAATTCAAATAATAATTTTTATGTACTTTAAGTATTTTTGTGTACAAAGGAAGGTCCAAAAGTTAATGATATCACAGTTATACATGCCCAAATACATCAGAACATGTTAATTATGGATTAAGAAAATGTGAATCATTATTTTGTGACATTAAATTCTTTTGAATGTAATCAGAAATTATCTGATAGCAGTTAAAATAGTCTGCAATGTGATCTTAAATGAAAATGTTTAGAATTGTTGTGGCAAAAAAGTGGTTTTTAATCTATTGCAAATTGAGATGAAACTATGATTTTATATTATGCTCCTTTAGCAAAAAGAGATTGATAGAATGATACTTCCTTAGATGGTAGATCTGATTCAAAGTGACCACTCTCTCATTTCAATGTTAAGACCTGATTTAAGAAGAAAAATTCTTTCAAGAAAATAGTAATGAACTCTGCCATTTCACATTATTCAGTTCAAAAATTAGAACTATTACCATGCTATTATTGAGATATTTTGTTTTTCAAAGCCATAAAATGCATTCAGAAACAGGGAGATTACACTAAAAATGATAATTCAAGAAATAATAATAATCTTTATTATCAATCTATTTAGGCAAGATACTTTTGAGCCTTCCTTCATACTTATAAAAAAAATTATAATTAAAAAACTGAGCTATAATTCTAATATAACTGGATAGAAGATTATAAACAAATACTACTGATATCTACTTATTGTATAGGGTTGTTTGGAAAGTAAGTTAGTTTTTTTCTGTGGAAAAAAACACAATATTTTTATAATAAATAAATATTTTATTGAATTATATATCAACCATTTTGGTCAAATACCTGTTGTCATCGTTTCTGGTAGTAGCATGATTTCACATTCATAAAAGTTTTAATCGTTGCTTACAAAAAACTGATCCAAGTGATTTTTGACATTGTCATTTCAAGTAAATGTCTTACAGTTAAAAAAAATTTGTATAGACCGGAACAAGTAATAATCTGAGTGTGCTCGATCTGGCGAATATGGTTGGTGTGATAGCACGTCCCATCTAAGTTATAACAGTTTCTGACGAGTTACCAAACTTGTGTGAAATTTGACATTATCGTGGTAAAACACTACACCTGTTTTGTTGATCAATTCTGGCCGCCTTTTCTGTTTGATGATATTACTCAATTTGTTTACTCGATGGCAGTACACTTTCGAATCAATTGTTAAATTGTCTGGTAAAAGCTCCAAAAAAAAATTTCCTTAAAATCCCACCAAAGAGAGCATCTCTCTTTAAGAACATGTGGAACCCATATATCGAGCTTTGAAACGAAACCAAGTTGTTTCAAGTAATCATAAACAGTTCAATTTGACAAATTTAATCTCTTAGTGATTTCACGTGTTGTTATTAGGCAGTTTGTTTTAATCAGTACCTTTATTTTGTTTTCATTGGCTTCAACTGGCCATCCAGAACGTGGTGTATCTTCAATATTGAAATTGCCAGAATGAAATTTTTTAAACCAGTTTTGGCACTGTCGTTCTGTCAATACATCTTCTCCATACACGTCACACAATTTTTTTCTCGCTTGAACAGCATTCTTACCTTTTTGGTAATAAAAGAGTAAAATATGCTGAAAATGCTGCTTGCGATCTTCCATATTTGATGGGACACAAAAAATAAACAATTGCACAAAATCAAACAAAATTTTTTACAAATAAGCCTTAAAATGCTAGCTGTCAAAATATGTAATGATAATAAGGTTTAGAATGAAAATGGCGGGAAAAATACAACTAATCCATCTAGTGGTAAAAAAAATGAACTTACTTTCTGAACAACCTAATATTATAGATCTAGATTTACATGCTCTTACATTAAGGAATAAAATGAATAAATATAACTTTTGATCTGGTAATTAGTAATACTTTTACTAATTACTAGATCATGTGGCATGCCACATCCTCCTCACATCATTGGCATAAAATGAGAGCAGCCTGTATTTGAACACTAACAAAGATCATATTAGTGCATAATAGCATATAATTGTAATATAAAATTGCAAATTCTGATATAATAGTAATATTTATTTCATTTGTCTAATATTTGCATTCATTTTTTGAATCATATATACACGAAACTTTGAAAATGTAAATTTTGTTTTTTTTTATACAGAAGGAAAGAATGCTATTGTTACAAACCTTATGTGCTACACAAAGCTTATAAACATGTCTTTTGCTTATTAATGTGAACATGATATGAACTCTAGGAATTTGTATAGTTAAGAAAATTATTCTATACACATTAGAATTTGTAGGGAAATGTTCATATTTAAGTGCTACTAAGTAAAAAGTATGGCTATAAACAGTGATAATGGTATATTCACTGTTTGAATTTCTTTGTACATGTTGTAGCACTCATATGTAAATGAGTACTAATATTAAATAGATGGCAATAAATATTACTGAAATAATAGAATTAGAATCTACTTTCAGCACATTAAATGGACTCTATGTAAGATTATTTGTAAGATTATTGTTAATTTTTTGACAAACTAAATAATTCAAGAATTTTGTATTTTAGGATGCAGATGTAGCCAAATTTCTAAGTTGTGGTTCTTTTGGAAATCTTGAATGTCTTTCATTAGCATTTACTCAAGTGACTAGTGCCTGTGCTGAACAATTAATTAAATTACCTTCATTAAGATGTCTGAATTTATGGTCAACTCAGGTATTTTATTCAGTATTTTCAAATAATTAAATACAGTAGCAATTACTAAAACTTGTAATTTCTAGTTCTAATATATTTATTCTTGAAATATCTGTAAATATCAAAATTATTATTTTTTCTTCATAAACTGAATAAAAGAATCAAAATTAATTTTAGAGTAAATTAATAGAAATTTATAATTTTTTAGAAATTACTGAAACTTTTTTAAATTTCACTAAATAAGTTATATCATGTAATAGTCATATTTAATAATAAATTATATTTTATTATATCAATGTGATGATTGCATTAATTATCAGATGGCTAACTTGATCAAATATTGCTAATTTTATTAAATAATATGTTTAAATATTAATTTTCTTGTATATTTATATATAATCAAATTTGGTAATTACAAAACATTTCTTGTATATTTTTATAAAATATGAAAAAAGGTTAACAGTTTAACAATGTTTAATCGATTTTAATATAAATCTTTCTTGATTTAACACCTCCATTTGCTTGCCTCCAAAACTGGCACTAAATTGTCTTTAGCAATAAACTGAAGTATTTCAAATTATAAGAAGTATAAATAATAGTAAAGTTTACACAAGTTTGAGAGTTTGAAAATATAATTTGTGATAACAGTATCATTTACATTGCAAAATTATGCATTTAATAATTTACACATTAAGATTCTCTATTTACTAGTGAATGGATCTTCCCATAAATATTATTCATAAGTTCTTTAGAAAGTTGTTATTTTGAAGTTTGATTTATATATGTTACAGTCAAAACCCGTTTTTAGTTAGAATGCGTTTTAACTAGTTGAAACTAGTTTATACTGAATGTCTTTGTTAAAACCTGTTTTGTCTAGTTGAAACTAGTTTATACTAAATGTCTTTGTTAAAACCCGTTTTGTCTGGTTAAAACTAGTTCTAACTCAAGTTCATTTTTGACTAGCAGTAAGTTCTAGTTTTAACTAGACAAAACGGGTTTTAACAAAGACATACAGTATAAACTAGTTTTAACTAGTTAAAACGCATCCTAACTAAAAACTAGTTTTAACTAGTTAAAACGCATCCTAACTAAAAACTGGTTTTGACTGCAACGTATAGAGTGATTCGGGGGAAGATGCCTAATTTTTGATATTTTTCAAACGGTGACGTCACATATTGTCATGTATTTGTATGATGAATCGTTGGATCAATATTGAGTGCGGAAAGCTGTACAGTAGTTGGCTACAGTTACTTCATTTTCCACATCCGAGAAGAATAAAAGCTAGATAAGAACGAAGTTTTTGTTGTGAAATGTTTCTAGAATAATTTTAAACTGAAAGTTAAAATGGAATTTATTAAAAATTTCAAAAAACAGTTATATGTGATGTAGTTGAGGTTCTAAAGTTTCCATTGTCAGCTACCGCCGATCCCGATCGACATGCTGGAGCATGTGACTCTA